GTTCAATTAGTTGCATGCAGCATCCAAACGGTACATCTATAAGTCCAACGCTGGCATCTTCACCATTAGCGCGGGGATCTCTAGAAGAAAAAAAAAGTAGGAATCTAAAAACAAAACCCAAAACGCAATTTTATCAAAACAGCTTACGTGGCTGCGGTGTGCGCATCAAAGACTTTGTAGAGCATCTTTACAGCTGGGAATGGTCGAATCTCACCTAATTCTTTATTTTACATATCAAAGACGGTAAAAGCAGAGACATAAATATAGCCGCTAAACCTACTTCTATTTTGCTCCTCTTCGTCTTCATGAAGTTCACCCGTGGCAGCTACCACATACGAATCCAGTAACCATATCTGGGCAAACTTTTTATAATTACTGTTGTAGGATGAAGAAGTATCATTCTCACCAATATATGTGGCGTTTTATCTAATGACCGTACCACCAGTTTCAGACTGGATTGCGCTTCACATGAGGACAAAACCAGTTGCGCGAAGAAAACCGATGTATCAGGGAACCTAGAAGTTGTGAAATTGAGCAATTTCCAAGTTTAGCATATGAAAAGCATGATACAAGAAAATTTTGTTGCTGCTACTGCTAACTTTAACGGTTTTAGAGAGCTTTTGCCTACTCCATGCAAGAGACATCCCTTTTTCCGCTGCAATGTGAGCTGAACAATGCTCAGTAACACTTTACTCGAGATAGAGAAATGATGGTCAAAATTACTAAATTTAGAGTCATAGCAGTAGATTCTAGTATAACGAGATCTGCAAATCTATATTAAAAGAAAGCCCATTTCTGAAAGAAAAAGTGGAATTCAAGTGTAGTTCTCAAGCTTCCGAAATCCGAATAGAATTAGAGAAAATAAGAAGAGATGAAATAATAGATATATAAGTAAAACAAGTCAACCAAAAAAATGCTATTGCCTAGCAAATGAAGAATTGCAATATGTGTCTTACCTAGTCTTCATGTAAGATTTTGAGTTTACGGAAAAAGTGCAGACAGCATGATGGAGTAATACAATTTTGCTGGAAGCTGGAATAAGAAGGTTTTACACTCTTTTCACGTTACTTGCAACTGCAACTTACTTTTCATCACATATCCTAGTTCCGAATTACACCCTTTACATGAAACTACTCGATTATCACGGCAAATATCAGGCTCGGCTAAGGTCTACAACAACAGGATCCTTGATCGATAAAATCATAGAATTAGTTGTATAAAGGACATACATCTTTATTCACTCCAGCATACGAATGACTAACTAGGAAGCGTTTCGAGGTTGGATACCAATCCGAATGCATGTTACCGGTTTCGGTTCCATCTCGCTTTCTGCCATGTCTGCAACAGCCAAAGGCTAAGTCTATATATCCTGCTGATAACAAGCTATCGATTTCATATTTCATCTCTTAAAGCAAACTAATACTTCTTTCTAACATCTCGGTTTGGATTGTAGTTTAAAACGATATCGTGGAAAATCCTTAGGTTTGTAGAATCACAAAAGAATGAATTTACTTTTCCGGGTCACATCCTGCTCCACATGTGTCTCTACAATAATAATCAGCTGATGGCGATGTTTCCAACCAATCATCACTTGGCAGGCAAGTGAGGGCGACATCTCTGAAGGTATAAGGCCTTTCTAAGCTAGTTTCTCAATGCTAAGGGTTACTTACCCAGATTTGTTTTCCATAATTGGTCGATTGCATTGGCTACAAGCTATGGAAATATTGGCACCAACGGAGTTATTACAGTATTCTTGAAGCGTATGAGTGTCGCTGATATCACTTGCAAGGCGGTGAAAGGTTTTTGGAACTGAAATAGAAACACGGAATTTAGGCGAAAAGGAAATTGAAGTCTTCGAAACTAGGAAAGTGGGAAAAACACAGTAAATTCGTTGAAATTATAAGACGGAAGAGATACTGACCAAGTGGCAATCCATCTGCCTCTACATGTATTTTGCACATGAAGAGTCGATGATTATCCGCCCACGTGGGTGCACAAAGCGATTGTGGATACATTGTGAGATTCGAGATGTTCACACTATATCTTGGCGATTTTTTCTCCAGATCCAAACTCTCAGATACTGTAGCTGGGACTCCTATCTCAACGCTGTGTTCACCAACTCGAACCAGGTTAAGCGTATCATTTCTGCCAAAAGAAAAGCATTGAATCAAAACAAATTTGTAAAACTTAAAAAAGTAGCGAAATATAAAACTTACTCCTTGCTATTTTCATCCTGTTCCACGCCCTCATCGTTTTGGAGATCCTCAGGAGGGCAGTCAACAAATAATGATGCCAGCTCAGCACGCGGCTTCACCTCCAGGAAGAATGAATGTGTGTGCCATTCCAACATGACTATACACTACTTAAATGGACAAATAAAAAGTACAAAAACCAGCGACTTTTGTTAAAGCCATGAATCCAGGAGAATGTACGTTTAGTGTAAAAATCCTTCACTCTTTTTCTTTGGCACACACACAGGAAATAAGCCACAGTCTGACTGCTGGCTGTATCACCATCGAAGTGCTCACTCTTATATGTGGACACGCGAGACTAATTTTGCAGCATATCTTCCAAAAACCTGTTTATTCGCCTAATTTAGTTCAACAGTAGTATCACATAAGAAACTGCATTAACAGGCGTGATGATAGTTATAGAACACAGTTTTAACGGAATAAGAGGTGTTATCCGCTACTGCCATTTACCGGTTGTTACCTTTGCACAAGAAGATACGACTATGAAGAGCTATATCTTTACTCTAAGTGTCAAAATTATTTTATGAAAAAAGGCTACTAAAGTGAAAAAAGGCTGCCACAGTGAAAAGCATACGAACTAAGGGCAAGATTAATCAAGTAAAGACCTTGAGAGTCCATAAAACAATTGTGTGGACTTCGGCAAGTAGTGCGTAAAGTTTTGGAACGTTGCACTGAACTTAAATAACATATCCATACCGTGCGATAGTGTTTTACTGTAGAGATACGGTATGTCCTGTAGAAAGTTTGTTTACAGGATCCCTTGGGAATTTCAAAATGCTATTCGATGTGAAGAATAAGAAACCA